AATTCTGTACATCAATAAATCATGTTCATTTCTTTTTAATAATCTCTCCTTCTTGAAATAAAATGACTTATTTGTAAATAAGTGGACATGAATAACTCAAGCTTGTTATATAATGTTATAGCATGTTTTTAACTACCTCATTCTCTTTATTTTGACAATACTGCCTTTAAAGCTGCAACACATTTTGGCGTCAGCTTGAAAGAACGGCATGTGAGAAATGTAAAAATGATGTCAGAGGTCAAATGTGACCTCCAAATTATAATTTGATATTTAAAATCCTCATATATCGTTATCATTTCCCTAATGTTTTGTGGAAGGTGGACCTTATTTGACTTTGAAGAAGAGGTCCGAGATCCAAAGTAATGTGATATTTACAACCCCCATTACCTGTATGCCCATGTGTTGTTAAACAATGGCAGTAATAAACTCACTTTGACCAGATCAGTCTATTGACTCTGAAGAAGAGGTCTAACATCACATGTGACATGATATTTTAGATCTTTGTATAGTGCTTTTGATATGTTAACAATACACACCACATTTAGTTACATAGTTTTTAATTTGTAACAATTTTGGTTAAGTTTCCAACAATAAATCCTTAAGATGGCTTTGGAGAGTGGGCCGGATGCAAGTCTAATTTTAATGGTTACCATGACCCCCCATACTACACCCCTACACTGATTTATCAGAATTTATTTAAACCTTTTCAAGGTATGGCATTTACAGACAGAAGGAATGAAACACACACAGGCAAATGCTGCCAATAATATAACCTCATTGGCAGAGTTAATCAACTTGACTGGAAGCAGGAAAAAAATCAAGGCGAGACTTAAGTAAACTTTTTATTCATCTACAAACTTTGGACGCTTGTATTGAGATGCAACATGAATGCATGAGTAAAACCACAGTTATACTAAGTAAACACCAACACAAACCAGCCATGAAGCTTATCAGCAGCTCCCTGAACCATCAACATTTATGAAAGCACACATGTGAAGTGACAAATGACTCTATATCAAAAACAAGGATCAGACTAATCTGAGAAAGGACAGGAGTTCATGTTCTCATACTGGCAAGCATTCACCCTGCTAGTCTTTGGCAGCCACACCAACACAGCAGATCTGTTGGCTACAGTCTGCTGGCTGTCCCCTATTTTTGGATATGGTCAAGTGACTGGATTCATCTGTAGCCATTCAGAATTAGGAAAGTAAGTTGTGTGTGTTCCAGTGTATACTATAGTATGGATATCTGATAAGATTTATTTCATCCAGTTAATTTTTGCAATCTCCATCAAATCCATATATTATGAAATATTAATCACAATATGGTCTTTAAATGTTCTACCATAAGTTTGATGCCCAAAGAAAAAAAAAAGAGCTATATTTATTTACTTATTTTATCAGGCAAACTGTTGAACTGTGCTAAGAATATGTGGCTCATAGCAACTGATGAACAGCCTCAGAACAGCCACTTTAAGCACACGTTCCACAAATTTCACACTCGAGGATCAACAGCCTGGTGACCACAGTGGTGCATGTAACAGCTAAAATAAATACATCAATCAGCAGTTAAAAAAACACAAAGTGAACTGCAACACTGAAGCCTGAGGCACAGCTGAAAATTAGATGTAAATACAAGAATAGAAACAAGCTCACCAAATCAACTTTAACAGTGGCACTCACAGATTGAACTGTTGCACTATCACTAAACTACCTGCATATATTAACACTTTAAAGCTGTTATTCAATGTGGTAAATATGACAAAGATGATATAATTTCTTCACTCTGGTATAACACCCAGAATCACCTTCCTTCAGCTGAAGGCAAGTATAGAGAGACTAAGTGAACAGGTGTCGCTTATAACCAAGCTGTTGAAGAGTCAGTGTTCATGCTGCATTCACACACTTATCAGGGGAACTCCAGAAAGAATTTTCCACCGCAC